GAGAGATTTTCACTGTAGGGCGCGTGCGCTCGCCAGACAGACAGAGAGAGACATAGAGACAGAAAGCGAGAAATCACCCCCCAGGGGGGATGGACACTCCGCAATCCCTTCTCCTCCATTCTCCTCTCGGGATCTTGGGCACGCACGCACACGCGCCCGGCGTGAGTTTTAAGCCACCGGGTCCGGGACACGAACCGCGGTCGACTACGTGGGAGTCCAGCGACATAGCCATTACGCTAACTGCTGGTTCCCCCTTCTCCGTATTTCTTGAATGAACAAATGACATAAACTTATCTTCAGCAGGCCTTTACATAAAATATCTTCCATAGTTTTTTGTTACCTTGATTACCTTGTCCCCGCTCAGAGAATGAGTTTTATTTTCACTTATTCTCATTTGTCTTCCTTCCTTGCCTTTTATTGTTGCTGACTTTTCTTCCTGAAGTGGAAAAATCATCATTGTATTGTTGATGATAAAATTAACAAATGTTCTTTGTACAATTTCAAACAATACAGAAATAGAGGGAGTAGAAAATGAAAGTTGCTCCACGATCTCATCTTTCAAAGATCACTGTTAATGAGGTATATCCTCCCAGCCATCTTTCTACACATGTAGAAATCGATGGAGTTCCTACTATATGCCCGGCACTGTTCTAAAGCACTCTACAAAAACTAAACCATGTAAAACTTCACAGCAACCTTTTGAGATACAACTATTATTATCCTATCTCATAGATAAGGAAACTAAAGAATAGAAGTTCCCACAGTCATTGCATTGTTGGGAAAGTCATGGCAGATTTTACATAGGAAAAACACGTCATGACTTTTCTGATGGCCTAATAGTAAGTGTCAGAGCCAGAACCTGAATCCAGGATCTAGATTCACGCTCTTGACCACTATGCCAGTTTGCCTCTGAAGGGGTAGGAAAGGGACTTTCTATTATGTGGACTTTCTATTAGCTGTATTGGATTTTTCACAAGACATAGCTACAATGAGTTTTTCAGTGCTGAGTTCTGGTTGTTTTCTATGCAGCCATTTGTACTTCAACTTGGTCCATATGAATGTATAACATACGCGAAACATGAATAAAATAAAGTAAAAAAAAATCAATAAAGAAAAAAATGTTTGTATACTTTGCACACCAAGCTGCCCTCCCTAGGTGACCTTTCTGAAACATCAGAAACCACAATGGTGAGATCTCTTTGCTTCAGGGGCTCAGATTTAGGCTGAGGGAAGTAGAATTGTGGGTTTGATGGTAATACTTATACTATATCTCTCCCATTCCCAGCATCTTTCCTGTTTCATTGGGTTTGCTTCTGAGGATCATCAATCTCCTAACACACACACACACACAAGCCCTATGTTTTACAGGGAGACCTGGAAGAGTTGGGATAGAGGTCACATTGACTGAGGGTAGTTGCCAGAGTCCTGCAGTTACACACAAAGGTCTGTCTCTGATTCCTGGATTCCTTTCTTGGTCTTTGGCATGCTGTATTTTTCTGTGGGTTATGAGATCACTTGTTAACTAGTCTGTTGCTACTCTCCAGCACCAAAGTACTACCCACCCTCCATGGATCTTCCTGTTTTGTGTAATTTCCCAATGTCCCATACCTTCTTTGTTAAGCCTAGATAGACCATGGCACTGAGAGCATGTGGACTGATCATCTTTCGAAGATGCCCAGTTCCCAAGGTGGACAACAGTACAATTGAGTTTCTACTATTGCAGGCATCAGATGGCATTCATCATTGGACTCCTCCCAAAGGTAAGAGGCCAAAGGGGCTGGCTTCTAGGAAAATGCCAAGCATTGCTCAGAAATCCACTGTGCCTGGAACCCCACAAGGCTTATTTCCCAGTGACTGTAGCAAGAGGGGGTAGGATGGGCAGGAACCCTTGCTCCTTTCCACATACAAGGTCTCCAGGCCAAGTCCAGAGCAGAGCTGGAAATATTAATAGAATGCTGAGACTGAATCTCAGGGCAAAAGCATCACCTGTTTTTTGTGGTTTTGTTTGTTTTTTTAAGAGAGACTTTTTTTTTTTTTTTTTTTTTTTTTTTTTTTTTTTTTTTTTTTTGCTATAGGGCATGCGCTTGCCAGAGAGACAGAAAGCAAGTAGTCACCTCCTGGGGGGGATGGCCATGCCGCAGTCCCTTCTCCTCTCAGGATTTTGGGCATGCACACACGTGTCCCTGGCATGAGTTTCAAGCCTATGATTCTGAGACTCAAACCGCGGCTAGCCTTGTGGGAGTCCAGAGACCTAACCATTACAACATCTCCTGGTCCCCACCTGGTGTTTTTCTGAGTATTGTTCACCACATCTCCAGCCTCTGTGGTGAAGAGGTAGAGAAAAGCCACTAAGTAGAGAAAATCCACTGGGCTGGGAATTGGGGACCTTGGGATTGAGTCATGACTGGGCTGTGCGCCCACCTCTTTAGGCTTTGAGTTTTTCATCTGTCAAACAAGGGGTTGACTAGAAAGTCCTGTTTTCTTCCAGCCCTAACTGTCTCTCATTTCATCTGTACAAGCGCCTTTGATTCCTAAATCAGTGTCCCTGTTTCTAGGTTTTTCTCTTGAACTAACCACAGAGAGTATGACTTTTGGAGTGTTTCTGAACATAGCTGTGTTTTGAGTTAGGAGCATAGAGAAGGTTAGTTCCCTGATCATAGATTGATCTGCAAACTCCTGCAGGAGTGGAGGAGTGAGGGGATGTGAGGACGCTTCTCAGACAAGAAAGCTATGAAGATTGTCAGGACCTTGGGATTGCAGCTTGACCAGCTATCAATGTTCTAAGCCCATCATTCAGCAAAAGCAGCAAATGAAGACTAGTTATGTGAGGCTTTAGACTAGGCAAATATATGTTTGTAAGCTTACTGGTTTTCATCCACCAGTGTTCTGTTTTGTTTTGTTTTGTTTTGTTTTGTTTGTTTTGAGAGAGATTTTTGCTATAGGGTACATGTGCTCACCAGAGAAACAAAGCAAAATATCATCCCCCAGGGGGATGACCACACCACAATCCCTTCCATTCTCCTCTCAGGAGTTTGGGCATACACACACACACAGTGTGAGTTTTAAGCCGCCAGGTCCAGGACTTGAACCTTGGTTGATTATGTGGGAGTTTAGCAACATAACCATTACTCTGTCTGCTGGTCCCCACCAACATTCTTCATTTATTTATTCTTAAAATAATATTTTTTTATTTTAACTTTATTTATTTATTTAAATTTGACCAGAGAGGGACAGAGTAAGAGAGAGAGAGAGAAAACAGGCCACCAGTCTGAGACTCAAATTGCGATCTGCCCTGTGGGAGTCTAGCACCCTTAACCACCACTCCACCTGCTGGCCTCCCCCCCAGCATCCTTTTTTTTTTTTTTTGGAGAGGTTTTTGCTATAGGGCGCATGTGCTCGCCAGACAGACAGAGAGAGACATAGAGACAGAAAGCGAGAAATTACCCCCCAGGGGGGATGGTCACGCCACAGTCCCTTCTCCTCCATTGTCCTCTCAGGATCTTGGGCACGCACGCACACGCGCCCAGCGTGAGTTTTAAGCCACCGGGTCTGGGATGCGACCCGCGGTTGACTACGTGGGAGTCCAGCGACATAGCCATTACGCTAACTGCTGGTCTGCTGGTTCCCCCCACCAGCATTCTTGATTCCATCTTTAAAAATAAAAAAGTCGGCCAGCAGGTGGCATGGTGATTAAGGGCATTGGACTCTCACATGGGTGACTGTGGTTTGAGTCCCAGATATGACTGGCTTTCTGTCTCACTCCCCGTCCCCCCTCCCTCTCTGGTCTAATTAAAGTAAATAAATAAATAAATAGTTCTTAAAAAAAAAAAAACAGTAAGAAAGCTGTGGTCACATGCTAAAAGAGAAGCTAAGCTTTGGATAAAGAAATGGGGATAAGGAACCAGTCTTGGCTAAGGCCATTAGGATGGTCGCAAGTGGCCAGGGACAGAATGTGGCTCTGGTACTTGCTAGGATGAGAAGCCCAGAGTGACTAGTTCCCAGACAGAAGGGAGCAGAGACTTTAAAAGAGAGGAGTGGACAAGGATCCAGGGTTGGAGGAAAACAGGAAATGGGAAGAAGAAATAAATTTTGCACATTTGAGTTTAACTGCAGAGAATTGTAAAAAAAAGAAGTGTCACAAATACTATGAATAGGACTGTTCACAGTTTTCTGCTGATTACCTAAATCACACCACCTGGTTGTTCTCACTAAAAGATGTCAGAGGACCTCTCCTAATTCTTTCTGCTTGGAAAGAAGTTTCCTTGGTTTTTTTTTTTTTTTTTTTTTTTGAGTTTTTTTTGTTTGTTTGGTTGTTTTTTTGTTGTTGTTGTTGTTGTTTTTTGCTATAGGGCACATACGCTTACCAGAAAGACAGAGAAAGACAGAGAGACAGAAAGCGAGAAATCATTCCCCAGGGGCGATGGCCATGCCGTAATCCCTTCTCCTCCATTCTCCTCTCAGGATCTTGGGCACTCATGCACACACGCCCAGCGTGAGTTTAAGCCCTGGGTCCAGGACTCAAACCATGGACGACTATGTGGGAGTCCAGCAACATAGCCATTATGCTAACTGCTGGTCCCAGAAGTTTCCTTGTTAACATTGGTGGACAGAATACTGAATGGATGCTCCTGGGAGGGGTGTGGTCAGACTCATACACACATGTGAGGGAAGATAGTGCATCCTGAATCAGTGTCACCTGTCACCAAGAGCATCCTTCCACCTTCCTCTCCCAATACATTGGCTGTCTTTGTGTACGTTGTTACAGGAGGTGCCATGCAGAGAAAATAGACATAGCTATATTGGATTTTTCAGAAGCCATAACTAGGATGAGCTTTTTAATACCAAGTTCTGATTGTTTTCTGTGCAGCAGTGACTCAGGGCACTGCTGTGCAGACACCTGGGAAGGAGGAGGGCTAAGGCAGACGCTCATCTCCAAATCAAGAAAGGAACAGATATGCGTTCAGGCCCTTCATTAGCTCCTGAACCAGAAGGCTCCCCAGCAACTTGCTGGAGCTGTGTGTACACACAGGCTGCCAGACCCTTCCAGTCCTCTTGGCCCCTCTGGGCAAGCTGAGAATTTGTGGGAAGGGACCTAGAGGTAAAGCTGAGGGCAGTTTCAGTCTGCAGAGCTTCAAGTTCCCCCACAGCAGTTTTTTGGCAACTGTCTACTTTAGGTTTGGGTCTTGCCAACAAATTTTCTTAGAACTGGCTCTCAGCTTGTCCTTAGTCTAAGTTCCCATCAGGAACTATGAAACTGAAGTCTGGCCTTGCTCAGTTAGAAAGATGAAAATAATTTGGAAAATGTCTTGATAGCTACTTGGAAACAGCTGCCAGTACAGCAGTGTGGGATTTGGAGTCTGTTGGCTCTGGAAATTCAGAGTCTAACTGAAGACAGTGTTAATTCCTCACTAGGTTGTAGGCAAAGTACTCCCTCTTCAGCTAACTCCCATCTTGCCAAAAAGTGACTGCCCTCCTTGGAAAAGTCACTTTAGGATCTCCAAGAGAAAAGTGGTCCCTGAAAACATGGGATGAGGAATGCTCCAGAGAATTAGAAAGCATTAAGTCTTAGAGAAGCTCTCTCTCTCACCATAGAAGAGCAGAATTCTAAACCTGACTTGCCAAATACGTGGTTTGTTTCACTCTGCAGAGAAGTTGGGGTGGGAAGGAGGGATTTCTCAGACCTAAGAACCAGAAACCACCTGCCCAGGCAGGTTAGGCTATTGCCAAACTCCAGGCTTCCTTTAGCCTAGGAACACCTAGAAAGTCGTGGAAGACCCTACCTTTAAATCATCTGGCCTGAAAAATCCAGCTTTGAGAATTGTCGAAGATTTCCTCTTTCTTTTTGTCCTTTTTTCTCTTAACCAGGACATGTGGAACCAGGAGAGAATGACTTGGAAACAGCCCTGAGGGAGACTCGGGAGGAAGCTGGCATAGAAGCAGCCCAGCTGACCATCATTGAGGGGTTCAGAAGGGAGCTCAATTATGTGGCCAGGAAGAAGCCTAAAACAGTCATTTACTGGCTGGCGGAGGTGAAGGACTACGACGTTGAGATCCGCCTCTCCCACGAGCACCAAGCCTACCGCTGGCTCGGACTGAATGAGGCCTGCCAATTGGCTCAGTTCAATGAGATGAAAGCAGCACTCCAAGAAGGACACCAGTTTCTCTGCTCCAAAGCAGCCTGAACTAACTGGAGCAGTCATTTGTTTCAGTAGGATCCTTGAGGACCTTCTGAAATCAACTCACTCTCAAATCTGGAGAAAGTTTTACTGGTCTTTGGCTCATCACAGCCAAGAGCAGATGAGTTAGTGAAATCAGCTTAAGACTCTCAGATGAGAGCAAGCAAAAAAATCCTAGCTAGGTGGAAAGACAAGGGAAGAGTGAAAATAAAAAAAGCTGAACCATATAAAAAATAAAAAACCATAAACCAAATAAAAAAGGCCAGGCTCATAAGAGTATCTTTGAAGTTTATAAATATATCTCAAGCTGCTTCTCTGCCCTAACCTATTGTGTTTCTTTATTGGACTCTTGCCATTGTTGGGGGGAAGAAAGCGAAAATGAATTAGAGCTCTAACCTTAACCAGAGGAGAACCCTGTGTCCATACACTGTACCCCAGAAAAGCTAAGGACTAATGGAGAGAGACCTGGCACTGCCAGGGTGGCTTTCCTACCTCTGGAACTCTAAGCTTTCTCACCCCACCTCACCAGTATCCTTGAGACTGGTCAGGATTTCCAAGCAAGTGGGATTGGGGCACAAGAACTGGGTCTGTTCTACTCACTGATGCATCTCCCCAGCGCAGGAAACATATGTAGGTGCCCAGTAAGTAGTTCCTTAAAAAATTAACTAGCAACCCAAGGAATTCTGGGCTCCCCAGGTCATAACAGAGAGAGGGATAGGCAACCCTGGACCACTAGGTCAATGACATGCACTCTGGCCTCTCAGCCTGCCTCCCAGAGTGATAAGCCTTGTCAACATGACTAGGTCACTGGGAATTAGGCCCAGGTAACCCAGCAGCCATGTCACTGTACCTATCCATTCCTTACCTGCAGTTGCCTTCCTCATGTTCAGCAAACCCTCGTTGATATCTCTTTCCATCTACTCCCTCTCTCCACAACTCTTCCGTAAGCCCCAGAGGTGTAAGAGCTGAGTCTGGCCCTCTTTTTCCCTTGCTACTAGGGCTCAAGGAATGCAGGGGCAGGTGTTAGATCTTACAGCCTTTCCAGGAGCTGTTAGCAGCTGGATTCATGTGGATTTTATTAGAGGATTGTTACTCAATGAAGTGTAGAAGATTGGACGGGAAAGGGCATTGACAAAAGAACCAGGATTACTAGGGTCAGGAACAGCCACCCCCAAAGGAAGAAGAGAGAAGTCACCCAGGTCTTAAGCAGGCCTCCAGATGTTTTCAGTCACTGGTTCTCCGCACAGACAGGGCAAAACCATGAGTGAATAGGATTTTGGAATGTAGCCAGTGACCTGAATGGTTTTATTCCTTACCCTTTTGAGCAGCACTCTCCAAAGGAGGCCTGGTGCAGGAAGTTTTTGGAGCTTAATGTTCTCTTTCCAAGCCAGCAGGGACCACATCCCATTGATTTAATAAATGCCTGCTGGGCAGCAGTGCCAAACCACAGACAAGCTGCCTCCTAACAAGGGCTGGCTGGCCATGTGCTCTCAGAATAGGAGGCTGAGGAATCTTAAGACCCTAAAACTCACACATCAAAGTTGGAAAGGACTTGGAAAATTATTTTTTTGCTGCTCATTTTTATTGCTAGGAAAATTGAGGCTTAAAAAGGAAGATTGGGGCCAGCAGGTGACATGATGGTTAAGGTGCTGGACTCTGACATGGTCGACTGTGATTCGAGTTCTGGATGTGGCAGCTTGAAACTGACACCAGGCATGTGTGCATGTATGCCCAAAAGCCCAAGAGGAGGATGGAGGAGGAGGGCTTTTAGTGTGTCCATCTCTCTGGGGGTGGGGGTGATTTTTCACTTTCCTCTCACTATGTCTCTCCAGCGAGCACATGGGAATGGCAAAAATCTTTTTAAAAAAGATTTTTGAGGGGATTAAGATGATGGTGCAGCAATAAAACATTGTTCTGCGAGGCAATTAAACAAGAAAGTTCTTGGTTCAAGTCCAGATCCCTTTCTGAATATGCTAGGCACACATATGCCTGTGATCTGGGCCTAGCTGAAACTAGGGGTGAGTTGTGTCAAGACCACAATTGGATATATGTCTTTCTCTCATTCTTACTTGTGGAGGAAATAAATGAATAAACTTTACAAAAAAAAAAAAAAAGAAAGAAAGAAAGAAAAGAAAAGAAAAGAAAAGAAAAGGTAGATGACCCTGGCAGTTGTTTTGAGAATGGGGTGACAGTGGGAAGTGGTGCTTTAGATGGTATAGAAGGGGACTTTGAAACTAGTCCATGGGAAAATGGGATTAAAGTATAAATTTATTTTGTTGCAGAAAAAAAAGTTGAGACTGGTGTATAATTTTTTCATAATATGCATTTTACACAAAATTTTTGAAGACCCCCCCATACAGCTCTAGAGTCATTTGAGTTGTACAGAATGTTCCATTAAAATACAGTACTGGGTTAGGATGTGGCATGGAGGTTAAGACAGCTGGATTCCACATAGCTCATAGCTGAGTCCCGGACCTGGCAGCTTGAAAATCATGCCAGGCGTGTGTGTGTGTGTGTATGTACCCAAAATCCTGAGAGGTGAACGGAGGAGATGGGATTGCAATGGTGTGGTCACCCCTCTGAAGGGTGATTTCTCATTTTCCCTTTCTGTCTATCTTGCTCTGGCAAGTGTAAGTGCCCTAAGGCAAAAACTGAAAACGAAAAGCAAAACCCAGGTATTTGGATAAAAGGATTTCCCATAAATTATATTCTTTGCAGGAATAATTGACAGCAGGTTGGGATGCGGTCATGTCATTGGAGGTGGAGGAGGGTGGCAAAGAACTGTGTGGCAGGCGAGTAAGCTTTACTATCTTTGCCACTTCACTTTTGGCCAGCTGGACATGCTCAACCTGAACTCAGAGATCCTAGAGGATTACAAAGTCCACTTCCCTGGCCCCATCACACCCCTCTGAATTGGCAGAGCAGCTCTTAGCTAATGTTTGATTTTGGGTTGGGCCAGGGCTCAGAGAGACTTCATCAAAGTTGTACCAGCTCAGAAGATGCTTCCATGTCAAAAATTTCTTTCAGAGGATGGGGTTGGTGAGGACTGATCTGAAATGATAGGAGACTCCTGCCCCAGCTCTTCTGAATAACCCCTCTAGGATCCCAGCCAGTCTTGTAGTCTTTTGGCTCTCAGGGTTCTAGAGTTCTAGAGTCTAATCTTTCCCAGTTTCTATGTGTACAGTTCTAGTGGGTTGTGTAACCAAGGAAAGCAAAGAGATTCCTAATGTGATCATCCTTCTATTACACAGAAATCTCCCCATGAGTTAGGGAATGGGGAACTAGAAGAGGGCCCTTCTTTGACCTGGGATTTGACTCTACAAGGCACAAAGTGGAGCCTCTTATTTCTTCTACAGAGATAGAAGAAAGATGATGGGTCCTTCCTAAGGTCTCAGCTTGGAAAAGAAGCCTATATGGGCCACAGTTTGATGAGAAGGAGACTTTATTTTTGGAGAGATTTTTGCTGTAGGGTGCATGCACTTGCCAGAAAGACAGATAGAGACAGAGAGATAGAAAGTGAGAAACCAACCCTCAGGGGGGATGGCCATGCAGCAATCCCTTCTCCTCCATGAGAAGAAGACTTAAAAAAAAAAGTTTATTTATTGCATGAGTGAGAAAGACAGAAAGAGAAAGAGACAGAGACAGAAAGAGAGCACCCCCAATAGGGTCTTGACATTACAGTCCACCCCTAGCCTTCAGCAAGTACCAGATGTGGTAATATATGGGTGTTCATTCTAGGCTTTCAATTTTTCAATGTGTTAAAAATTTTCATAAGAAAATTTGAGACATGGGGCTGGCAGGTGGTCTGGTAGTGAAAGGCACTGGACTCCCACATGGTTGACTATGGTTCAAGTCCTGTACCCAGTGGGTAATTTCTCACCTTACCTCCCCCTCTCTCTCCCTCTGTCTGATCAAACTGGAAAATAATAATAATAAATAAAGTTAAATAAAATAATTCTTAAAAAAGAATACTATTAAAAAGAACTCCTCCTTCCTCTGCCATTGTGGTGAGTGTTGTCCACTCGGTTCTTCGCCATGTCTTTTCACAAGACTTTCAGAATCAAGTGGTTTCTGGCCAAAAAGCAGAAGTAAAATCATCCTATTCCCCAGTGGATTCAAATGAAAACTGGTAATAAAATCAGGTACAACTCCAAGAGGGGACACTGCAGACGAACCAAGCTGGGTCTCTAAGGAACTGGAGAGGATATGGCCCACATGTTTATGCTATCCCAAGGTCATTATGGTCTTGCCACATCAAACTGAAAATGGTCACCATGGCCTGGACACTTGGGGGTGTTTTTATTGGAGAAAATGATGCTTCACTTTTTCTCTTAAGTTCTGCATTGGTAGGTTGGTACAGTAATAAATTTGTGAGACCTTTTTTTTTAAAAAAAAAGAAAGAAAGAAAGAAAGAAAATTTGAGCCACAGTGAATATGAGTATGATCTCAACCAGGCAATAAAACTATGAGTAGATAAAGACAAGAGGGAATTTTTTTTTTGAAAGGTTTTTGCTATAGGGCGCTTGTGCTCGCCAGCCAGCCAGAGAGAGACAGAGAGATAGAAAGCGAGAAATCACCCCCCAGGGGGGGATGGTCACGCCGCAATCCCTTCTCCTCCATTCTCCTCTTGGGATCTTGGGCACGCACACACACGCGCCCAGCGTGAGTTTAAGCCACTGGGTCCGGGACTCAAACTGCGGTCGACTACGTGGGAGTCCAGCGACATAGCCATCATGCTAACTGCTGGTCCCAGAAGGGAATTGTTAAGAGCTGTTTTGGGGGGAGAGACAAAGGATGATATTGTCCCCTTCTTTCTACTATTGGGAATTTTCTAAATTTTCTATAAATGACTGTGTGTTGCCTTAGTACAAATAATGACATTTAAAACATTTTCTATTTAAATATGATTAAAAGCTATAGTTTGAAAAGAGGCTTTAGTCTAAGAAAAATTGGCCCAGCCCCATAGTGCAGCAGTTGAACTGTGCATAGGGAGCTGACTATGACCATCCACGGTTTAAGTCCTGGCTGGTGAGTTAAAAAACACACTGGTGTTCAAAATCCTGAGGGGATGCAGAAATAGAGAGGAAAGGATTGTGGAGTGACCATGTCCATTACTTTCTCTCTCTCTCTCTCTCTCTTTTTATCTCAGGGACTGTATAAACCCTCCGGCAAAATTTAAAAAATAATAAATAACAAAAAACTGGTTTGGACTGAGAAGAAAATATTCAAAGGTTAGCAAAATTCTTTGTAAGCAGATGTAATTTTTAACAGGATATAAGCTTCAAAGGGTTGGGAGATAGTGCACAAACATGTGC